TTTGAGGATGATTTCGTTTGGACTTCTCTTCCTGATACCCAATGCAAACTGCACAAAATAACCACACACCCCCAAAACAATTGCACACTGTTTGAAGCTTTGGTAACAGGAGTGAATGTGCCAGGCATCCATGTGCTGACCTTCTCATAGGGGTCACCTTCTCTCTTAGACCCAAGACATTAGAAACACATGAACGACTCTCAAGTAAATCTTTAAATATCTGGATTCCCTGTTCAATTAATAATGTGCTATTTTCTATTTTCCATGAGGTACCATGTGTCAAGGGTAGCCCCAGTGGCCCTCAAAATTATTAGAACAATGTATATTATTTTTCTAATTTCTCATGTGAGATTTTTCTCTTATAAAGCCCATACAATCTCAAGTACTTGGAAAACAAGGTTCTTCAGAAATGTATGGGAGGAGAAAACTGTTTTTGTTAGTCTGATTTTTTTTACCTGTCTTTTTCCCCCAGGTAGAACAATGCCAGTAGACACAAAGCCTTGATCCATTTCAAAGAAAAATAAAAGAAATTCCAAAATTTCTGAATTTTCCAGATTTCAGGAACTTCTTGGAGAAAGAAGCAAGCAAGAGTTTTCTGAGACAGACATCAGAATGTTTTTAAATCTTTCTTTTACTTGTTTGATTTTTTTTGAGAGACAGGTCTAAAATAACATGATTTTTTTCTCCCTCTTTGCTGGATATTGGGGCAGCTTTAACCAGCCTCTCTCTCAGTCATGAATACATTTTAATGGACTGACACATGCTTAATAACACAGGTAATGCTTTAGAGCAAAGTGTCACTGGGGCCTGTACTATATTAAAACTGCATTTTTGACCTGAGCCCTACAAGTCTCTGTACTCAACCATCTCGCCGGTTGGAGAGAAACAGCCCAACGCCAGCTCACGATTTTTCGTCTTCAAATAAGGAGGATCGAGGTTTAATTTTTATAACTCTGCACATTAAAAAATGTTATGTTTCTAAGTGATTAACTCACCTCCATGACTAGAAATCTTAGAAATTTCATAAAAGTCCCATGACTGCACAAACTCACTCAGCTTTTATGACTCTAAGGAGTGAGGCCTGTTTTTGCCTGAAGTCTTGAGTCAGTGTGGGAGAAAAAGGAATTTGCTAAATAGCTTCTCAACACTGTGCTAAAGGGTTTAGATCCACTATCTCATATTTAATCATCATCACAGTCTTGTGATGTAAGCATTTTTTTAATCTCATTTTGTAGGTAGAAGCTAAGATGGTCCCCAATGATCCATGACTCCTAATATCTAGTGTGAGTGTTTCATCTAGCAATTTGAAGAAAAGAAGAGCTCTTGCCGGGGAAAAGGGAGGACTTCTTTGAGATACTTGGTGTTTTTCGATGAAGTCTTTGATGTGGCTTATCCTATGAGAAATGTTAAATTTCTGGACACTCCTTTTTCCATTGGCTAACAAGATCTGTGTATTAGTGATGGATTCCAGACTGTTTAGTGAGACAGTAGACAACTTATTTTTATTCTCAACTTCAATACACTTTGCTTTAGAAACAATTTTTTGTGTAGCACTTCCCAGTCTGTGACCCTGTCCTGAGAAGGGCTGGAACACAGGCTTTGTTGACATATATACTTCATTTTTCTTATCTTCAACTTTAACATCGACCTCCTCATTATCAAAAACCCTGTAATTCTAAAGGTAATTCCCCTTTTTTGATGGAGTTCAGAAACTGCTGAGCTGCACCATCAAAATAACTTCTGAAATCATCACTGACTGTGAATCCATTTTTTCCATAATTTTGTACTTACACCTACCAGTTTCTTTTGTTCAGTGGCAGACAAACATTTGACACCAACCTTCTGAGTTTCCTCAAAAAGGCTGTCAACAATATAGTCACAATTTGTTTGCTGATTATCACTAAGAGGTTGGTGGTCAGATCCTGTTTCACAAACCTGTTCTTCTTCTATACTTTCAAGATTATCTGCTTCTTTCATTCTGTTTTGTCTTCCTCCTGGTGTGGCCGCTGGGCTGGAGCCCCTCAGACTGGGAGCACTGCCTCCCCCAGACCCTCTCAAGTTCGGCGGCCATGCTGCTGGGACCCTGCTCGTCTCCCTCAGTTACTGCTGCCATCACCAAGCACGTGCTAAGGCTGGCTCTGACTCCTAATATCTGAACCCTTGTATAGTCTCTTTGACTTGAGCAAGGGTTAGACTTATTCATTTTTTCTAATGAATAGAATATGATGAAACGGATGGGATGAGATATATAAAGACTGTGGCTTTTGTCCTGGGAGTTCTTTCCCACTCTCTCCAGGGTCACTCACTCTGGGGTAAGAGTGCTGCCCTATGAATGAGGCAGCGTTCTGAAGAGGGCGGGGGGATAAGTTTGGATCTTCTGAGGTCTTCCCACAGCCACATGAGTTAGCCTGGAAGCAGAATTATAACCAGTTGAACCTTGAGATGACTGTCGCCCCTGCCAACAACTTGACTGCAGCCAGAATTGCTCAAAGGGCTCCTGGATTCCTGACTCTTAGAAAATCAGACATAACACATGCGGTTTTCAACTAATACATGTTGGTATAATTTTTTATGCAGCTGTAGATAACAAATGCACTCTCACTTACATGGGAGACAAAGTTAAGTTCATCTATGGCCCCAGACTAACTAGTAAAGGGAAAAGGTGCTTTTGGAACCTGCCTCTCTGACTCACAGACCCAGGCCCTTCTGTTATTTCCAGGGGTTTGAAACTGTATACAAGACCCTCTGTCCCTTCCTTTGAAGTAATAGGCTTTTGCTTTAGTCTCCCATGCCTACACTGAGTCTCAAAAGGCTGCTCAAGAGTTAATGATTAGGAAAAAAAATAGTTAATGATTAGGAATGTGAAGATGTAGAAATAAAGAATAGCTGTTGGGCTGGGAAACTGGTAACAATTTAGACTATAAATCAGCCACATGGAAGAATCACCAAATTCCCAGTTCCCTGAAAGATAAAGATAAAGACCTGACACATATTTCAAAGGTTTTTTTTTTAACAGGAAGCTGACCGCCCCCCCCCCCCGCCCCGATGAAAATTGCTGATCACAACAACATAGACCCTAGACTGGTTGAAACCAGAAGGTTGATGATGCTGGAAACTTCACCTTGATGCCAACCAATCTGAGAACTATGCACAAGCTGATCATACACCCCGCAGCTCCCTCCCTCACACTGCCTTTAAAACCCCTTACCTGAAAGCTATTGGGGAGTTCAGGTCTTTTGAGCATGAGCTGCCCCTTCTCCTTGCTTGTTGCCTTGCAATAAAATCTGTACTTTCCTTCACCACAATTCGGTGTCAGTAGACTGGCTTTACTGTACATGGGTGAGCGGACCCAAGTTTGGTTCGGTAACAGGTTCAATGGGCTTTTTTTTCACCCATTGACATCGGAGGCTTTCCCATAGCCTGACCTGATCTTGACTATTAAGTCACGTCCTTTACTTAACTCAATTTCCTCTAATTCACTTGCATAACAAAACTCACAGTCCAGTGGGGGAAGAAAGACATTTAAATTAAATAAATGATTCAGTGTCCTATAATCCAGGATGGATTTTGGCCCAGGGTGCAGAGAGGAGGGGGTTTGATTCAGGCTGTAGAGCCAGGAAGGCTTCTTAGGATTTGTTGACCTTGCAGCCTGCCTTAGCCCCCAATCCAACGCCTGCAGGTGGTCTGACCTCGGTAAGTACTTGTCACTAAGTGAACACATTGCTTCCAGAAGGACAGAGGACGTCAGTAAGATAACAAGTATAGAAGAAGGGAGAAAATTCCATGGCTCCATGTTGAAGGAATGGCAGATAGAAGAGTCAGGATATTATTCATATATCTATTCCATGTTGCTATACATCAGGACCTGTACTCTATTGCTATAAAAGAAAGTACTTTCCAATCTTCAACTTTTTGAGAACCATTTTAAAAACTTTTATGAAAATATGCTCAACATCTCTAATTATTAGAGAAATACAAATCAAAACTACCATAAGGTATCACCTCACACTGGTCAGAATGGTCATTATCAAAAATTCTACAAATAATAAATGCTGGGGAGGGTTTGGAGAAAAGGGAACCCTCTTGCACTGTTGGTGGGAATGTAAATTGGTGCAGCCACTATGAAGAGCCATATGGAGGTTGCTTAAAAAACTAAAAATAGAGCTACCATATGATCCAGCAATCCCACTCCTGGGCATATATCCATAGAAAACTGTAATTCGAAAGGATACATGCATCCCAATGTTCATTGCAGCACTGTTTACAATAGCCAAGACATGGAGGCCACCTAAATGCCCACTGACAGATGAATGGATAAAGAAGATGTGGTATACACACACACACACACACACACAATGGAATACTACTCAACCATAAAAAAGAATGAAACATTGCCATTTGCGGCAACATGATTGGACCTAGAGTTTATAATATTAAGTGAAGTAAGTCAGACAGAGGATGACAAATATCATATGATATCACTTATATATTGAACTAAAAATAATGATACAAATGAACTTATTTACAAAACAGAAACAGACTCACAGACTTGGAAAACAAACTTATGGTTACCAAAGGGGAAAGATGAGGGGAGGAATAAATTATGAGGTTGGGATTAACAGATACACACAACTATATATAAAATAGATAAACAACAAGGACCTACTGTATAGCACAGGGAAGTATATGCAATACTCTCTAATCACCTAGATGGGAAATGAATCTGAAAAAGAATAGATACATGTCTATGTATAACTGAATCACTTTGCAGTACACTTGAAACTAACACGACATTGTAAATCAACTATACTCCAATATAAAATTTGAAAAAGAAGAAAAAAAGAAAACAAATGTTGGCTCTTCAGACTTAGAGTAAATTTGTGAAGACTGGTTATCCCACATCTCTGGGAGCTGGAGCCTGTATGTTTTGGTCAGATTCTCAAACATGTATCGACTTGGCTGAACAAGAAACCGACATAGAAGTTGTCAGCAGACAGTACCTGTGAGGATTTCAGCTGCACGTTCTGTCATTTTCTGAATCACGAGTCTCAGGGTTCCATCCTCCAGGCTCAGCAGCAGGGTCCCTGAGCCCTCAGAGAGCATCGTGGACAGAAGAAGACCATCCTTGTTCCAAGTTCGAAACTGGAAACTCACCGAGAGCCCATCAATTTGGGGGGTGCCGGGCAGCAGCAAATAACTGCTGCTCGAGTTGACAAATGTGATGGGAACAATTTGTGGTTCCGAGCAGGAAAATGTGACATTGCCCTGGAAAACAATAAAAATCAAATATATAAAAGCCATTTTTTATTCTACAGTCTGACAGCTGATATAAACAACCACCTGGAGCTGACCTTAATTTCAGGATCATTTTACATACAGCAGCAAGATCTTAAAGGGAAAAATATGTCAGCTTTGTTCAGACACACCCACAAGATTGTTTTCCATTCTTTTTCCTGCATCATGGTGCTATCTGCAAAGAGGGTCATCCAAGACCCAGGGTCGGTGGGGGGATGGGAAGCATCAGAAGTTTCTAGGGATCCAGAGATAAAGCTAATTACATTCATTCATTGAATAATGCTGTACTGCAGGTCAACTAAGTGTCAAGCACTGGGATACCTTTCAAAGAGATACACATGAGAAAACTTTGTTACAATCTGGAATGTCCCCAGGGCAGCCTGGTAAAAGAAATAGCTAAAGAAGCAAAGGTTTCACAAGGGAGGTGATGCTTTCCTGGAAGGAAGTGGGGGAAGACAAGAGTGAGTGCCCCGTCAGCCTTCTCAGCAGATGGCATGGTGTTTGCAAAGGCTTGGAAAAATTAGCAAAAGGGAAAGAGTCATTTCTGAACTTGCAGTGGGACAGAGAGGACCATGGACCATAAAGCAGGTGAGTTTATGCTTGCCAAAATTATCATTCAAAGTTAGAAGCAGTAAAGTGACATTGGCCAGATTTTTAATGTATTAAGAGTATTTTTAGTAACATGGGGAGTTGGGGGGGGATGCATGAGAGGACCAGAAGTGGGGAGTATTGTGTGTAGACTAGAACCAGGAAGAAGTGGAAGAAGATTACCCTTTGCATAAGTGAGGGAAAAATGGGTCCGAGTTTACTTGAGGAAGTTACAGGAAAATAGACAAATGTATATATGTGCCCAGCTGAGCCATGCTCTGGAGTCACTTTTACTAGATGAATAGGAGAAAGCCTGGAATACTGTCTAGATTATGAATAGGTGTTACAATATGAAAGCCATTTGTAATTTTTATATCCAACCTCTACACAATGAAGTGAGCTTATTCAGGTAAGTGTAATGCAGTATTTTCCTCTAAATAGTCATAGACACATCTTTTTTTAACTTATTTTATTGAATTATAATTGATTTACAATGTTGTGTTAATTTCTACCGTACAGCAAAGTGACTCAGTTATATATATATATATATATATATATATATATATATATATTCATTCTTTTTCATGTTCTTTTCCATTATGTTTTACTACAGCATAGTGAATATAGTTCCCTGTGCTATACAGTAGGTCCTTGTTGTTTATGCAGTTTATATATACTAGTTTGCATCTGCTAATCCCAAACTACCAATCCATCCCTCTCCACTCCCCTTCCCCCTTGGCAAACACAGTCTGTGCTATTCATAGACACACCATGTTCCCTGTAAATCTCTCAATGCCAATGAAAGAGGCTAAGCTCCACCTATTTCCATAGCCAGTGCCACTTCTGCAAAAAAATAGACAGGGATTTCTGAAAGAGGAATGCCCTGGCTTGCCTGGCTGCCTGAATTCAACTTTGCACTAAAGTGGCCAGGTAGTGGGGTTAGATACCTAGGACAGCTCCTAGTCCTAGAACAGATTAATTCTTCAGGTTGTACAGCCTCATAATCCTGAAAAAAACATCCTTAGGTCCCAAATATATTTGTTAGTGATAGTCCTGCATTTCTGAAAACAAATAGAAGTTTCCAAACAAACTTCTCCCAATAGTACATTTCTAATGATGCACTCATCAAGCACACCGCTATGAGCATATTCTTGCATTGATCATTTTTTGTAGTTGTTTAGATGTGTTCTTCTCTTTAGGCTAGATCCCCAGAAGTTAATTAATGTGTCAAAGGGTAAGGCCCTTGATATCCATCAAGAAATTGCCCACAGTTTATACTGCATTTGGCATTAGGCTAAGTGCTAACATGCATATCTCATGTATTCTACACAATGACACTGTGTTCATTTAAAAAATGCACAAATTGGGTTTGGAGAAGCTAGGTGATACGACAAAAGCCAGAGTCCTCCTTAGCAGTGACAATGGGGGACAAACCTATGTTTGTCTGACATGGAGGCTTTTGGCAGCCATCTCTGAGAACTTCCTCCTCTGTACTGGGTACCATTGTTAAAAAAAACATCTACCAGCTTGCTTTTGATATCTCATTGCTGTTTTAATCTGCTTTTTTTAATTGATATATAGTCTCATACTGTTGTGGTTGGAAAAGATGATTGATATGATTTCAATTTTCTTAAATTTAGTGAGGCTTGATTTGTGACACAAGATGTGATCTATCCTGGAGAATGTTCTGTGTGCACTCGAGAAGAAAGTGTATTCTATTGTTTTTGGATGGAATGTCTTATAAATATCAATTAAGTCCATCTGGTCTAATGTGTCATTTAATGCTTGTGTTTCCTTACTTATATTCTGTTTGGATGATCTGTCCATTGGTGTAAGTGGGGTGTTAAATTCACCTACTATTATTGTGTTACTGTTGATTTCCCCTTTTATGGCTATTAGCATTTGCCTTATGTATTGAGGTGCCCCTATGTTGGGTGCATAGATATTTACAATTGTTACATCTTCTTGGATTGATCCCTTGATCATTATATAGTGTCTTTCCTTGTATCTTATAATAGTCTTTATTTTAAAGCTTATTTTTTCTGATATGAGTATTGCTACTCCAGCTTTCTTTTGATTTCCATTTGCACAGAATATCTTTTTCACCCTCTCACTTTCAGTCTGTATGTGTCCTTAGGTCTGAAGTGGGCCTCTTGTAGACAGCATATATATGGGTCTTCTTTTTGTACCCATTTAGCCAGTCTGTGTCTTTTGGTTCAGGCATTTAATCCATTTACATTTAAGGTAATTAATGATATGTATGTTCCTATTACAATTTTCTTGATTGTTTTGGGTTTGTTTTTGTAAGTCTTTTCCTTCTCTTGTGTTTCCTGCCTAGAGAAGTTCCCTTAGCATTTGCTGTAAAGCTAGTTTGATGGTGCTGAATTCTATTAACTTTTGCTTGTCTGTAAAGCTTTTGATTTCTCTGTTGAATCTGAACGAGATCCTTACTGGGTAGGGTAATCTTGGTTGTAGGTTTTTCCCTTTCTTCACTTTAAATATATCTTACCACTCCCTTCTGGCCTGTAGAGTTTCTGCTGAAAGTTCAGCTGTTAATCTTATGGGGATTCCCTTGTATGTTATTTGTTGCTTTTCCCTTGCTGCTTTTAATATTTTTTCTTTGTGTTTAATTTTTGTTAGTTTGATTAATACGTGCTTCGGCATGTTTCTTCTTGGATTTATCCTGTATGGGACTCTCTGCACTTCCTGGACTTGATTGACTATTTCTTGTCCCATGTTGCATAAGTTTTCAACTATAATCCCTTCAAATATTTTCTCAGACCCTTTCTTTTTTTCTTCTTCTTCTGGAAGCCTATGATTCGAATGTTGGTGTGCTTAATGTTGTTCCAGGGGTCTCTGAGACTGTCCTACATTCTTTTCACTCTTTTTTCTTTATCCTGCTATGCATCAGTTATTTCCACCATTCTATCTTCCAGCTCACTTACTGTTCTTCTGCCTCAGTTATTCTGCTAGATTCCTTCTAGAGTATTTTTAATTTCAGTTATTGTGTTGTTCATCACTGTTTTTTTTCTCTTTAGTTCTTCTAGGTCCTTGTGAAATATTTCTTGTATTTTCTCTATTCTATTTCCAAGATTTTGGATCATCTTTACTATCACCACTCTGAATTTTTCAGGTAGTTTGCCTGTTTCCTCTTCATTTTTTTGGTCTTGTGGGTTTTTATCTTGCTCCTTTGCCTGTAGGATACTTCTCTGTCTTCTCATTTTGTCTAATTTACAGTATTTGAGGTCTCCTTTCCCTAGGCTGCAGGGTCATAGTTCCTCTTGCTTCTGTTCTCTGCCCCTGGTGGTGGGGTTGGTCCAGTGTCTTGTGTAGGCTTCCTGATGGGAGGGAATGGTATCTGTGTTCTGGTGGGTGGAGCTGAGTCTTTTCCCTCTGAAGAGCAGGGCCTTGTCAAGTGGTGTGTTTTGGGGTGTCTGTGTACTTAGTATGACTTTAGGTAGTCTGTGTGCGGATGGGTGGGTTTATGTTCCTGTCTTGTTTGTTGTTTGGTGTGAGGGGTCCAACACTGGGAGCTGCTAGCAGTTGGGTGGAGCTGGGTCTTGGATTCAGCTAGAGGCCTCTGTGAGGGCTCTCAGTGATTAATCTTCCTTTGGGGCTTTGAATTCTCTAGTGGTCCAGCATCGTGGACTTGGTGCTCCCACTCCAGAGCCTCAGGCCCGACTTCTGGTCGAGGGGCCAAGACTCTGCAAGTCGCTCATCTCAGTTATGCAAGGCTCTTTATAGTCCTTTCCAGTGTCCAATGTCTTCTGCTAGTTTCTGTCTGGTGTTCTGTGAGAATTGTCTCATCTGTAGATGTATTCCTGATGCATCCATGGAGAGAGATGAACTCCACGTCCACCTACTCTTCTGCCATCTTGAATCTCCCTGGATGGTGCAGGTGTACTCACTGTCATCCAGCAGGTGCACGGTGCAGCTGTACTCATGTTCCAGGCTCCTGATGCTGCCACTCATCAACCTGCTCAGCATTTTCCCACCCGCCCCCTGTGTCCAGGAGAGAATCGGCAGTGCTGCAGACCCCGGACCAGGCACCGCTCAGCCAGGCAGCTCCACACAAGCACCTGCACCTGCACCCTCACCCCAGTGAGGACGCCGCCACTGCCTCCTGCTGATCTTCTCCTCCTTCTCCGCCTCCACCTTCCCCCAGCCCAGAGCAAGCGCCTGGCTCTCTCTCTTCTCCATGCCCCACTGACCCTTAATCTGAATTTTTGAATTTCTGGTTGATATCCTTTCAAGATGAAATATCCCCACTGATGGCAGATTAACTGAGGCAAGGCTGTCTTTTAAACAAAGCAAAATCACAAATGCTCCCACAGGGAACTTGGGAGTAGCAGTAACTCTTCTTGCCCTTTACTTTTCCTGAG